GGGGGGGGGGGGGTACTACTGTAATGTATTGGCTGCTTACTCTGTGCCAGGACCTGTGTTAAATGTTATACACAGACTATCTCATTCCGCACAACTACTTTCTGAGGAAAGCACTGTTGTATCTTCCCTTTAGAAATGAGGAAAATTAGGCCCTAGGTCACACTAGCGGCCCAGCCAGGGTTCTAGTCTAGTGTGTCTCTCCAGAGCCTGTGTTCTGACATCAAGCACACAGAGGGAGGTGAGCTCCGGGGCAAGACCAGCGGCTCCCTTCACACAGGGCTGCTGCTCAGAATTCCTCCCCATATTCATTCACAAAAAGCCCAGGCCCATGAAAGCCGTTCTTACCCTCATTCAAAGTGAGGAACAAGATGTTGAGGCCCAGGCAGGTCAGCAAGGAACACAGAGGCGTCTGCCACCTACAACACAGAGAGTCCTGGTCACTCAAGACGGCCGCTCCTCCAGATGGGAAGGGGGGACGAGCCAGCACAGGGGGGTCATCAAAACCAGGAGCAAGAGGAGGAGGCCTGGAGCTCAGGGTGTCAAGAGGAAATGAAAAGTAGGCTTCTCACTTGGACCGGTGACTGTAGAGGAGTTAGTCACACCTTAGTCCCCAGGGTGAGAAACCGGCCTCCTCTCAGAACTAGAAGACCTGTAGAACTTTCTCCAAGAACGAAAAACAATTCATAACATTATCTATTAGGAAACCTAGTAAATACTGTGTTTTGTAAGGTTCTATTCTCTTTAAAAAGTAATGATGACAAACATTCTTCTTTGAAATGTTCCTTTTCTTATTGAGATATAATTTACATATAACATATCCTTGTTCACAATTTCATAAGAACATATATTAACTGCACAAGATTCATCTAACACAGAAATCAGGAGAACAAAACATGAAGGATTCCTTTGACCCATTTGTGACTTTCTCTTTGTATTTCTGCAATTTTGAGAGTTTGTTTTTAACATATGTTCATTCAAAAGGAGAAATATAGTAAAGATTTTATTTTAATATATCAAAAAATGAAGATGAAACCAGGGTGCAGCATTCTCTCAGCAAATGTCTAAGTAAACTGGAACAGATGGAAGCAAACACAGACCCAGCCCCTGCTATTACCAACTAATGGCAAAGCAGAAGCCCCCAACGAGAAGAAAGGCCAGAGACTCGGGTTGCTGAGGTCAAACACTGCTGGCTTAGTCCTTGACAAAAGACATTTAATAGGGAAAAAGGAACTCAGATATAGTAATGAAGCCACTGACACCTACAGTCTAAAGAGCAGTGTCAGTGTATTTAAGGTCAGCCATCGGAGGAGAGACACAAATAGAAAAATAAACAGGTAAGATGCTGGCAAGCAATGTATTCAGAACTTAAATGTATTTTCTTTTGCTCTAATTGGGGTATTTCAGAGTTACGAATGAGGTTAACTAATGTAGGTGCTGCTTTATTTCTTACTAAAAGTTATAGTAAGGGAATAAAATGACCTCTCTCTGCCTTTCTCTTAAAATTCAACACACCCCAACTGTATCGCCCTAATTAGGCCTAGTGGCAGCTACCAGGGTAAAAGCAAATTAAAAGTCAGGTCTCAGGCCAATCTCATTTCAGAAATAAAAGTATCACACAGCGACTGAAGTCACTTTCATTTTAAAGTCTCTTGCCTTCTGCCTTCATTGACACTTTGGACAGGTAGACCCACCTACTGGAGTAGCTGATCCCAGAAGAAAGGAGTCTTTTAAAAATCTACTGCAGCTCTAGGCTTCAGACCTAACAGCCAAAGCTCAGGATTAGGTCCCTCTTCAAAGTCAAATCCTCTTTACTAAGAAAAGAACAATCAAACGCGCGAACTAATCTGACAGCCACTTTCACAGACCAGTGCTCCGTCTCCCGGCGGCACAGAGACCACAAGCTCCTGGGGCTTTTTAGACCCAAGGCTTCTCCTCCATCCAGCTTTAATCAATCCCACCACATCCTCAGATTTCTAATTTCACAAAATGGAAGAACCCTAACACATTAGTGCCAAGAAGCACTAATAGACCAGGGCGGAAAAGGAAGAGGACAGGATATATTTAACTTTTGTGCTTTGCCGCAAAGGGGCAAAACACACATATATATGTACATATATATACACATACATAGATATATACACACATCTGCACTCATACATGTGCATACACAGTGGAAAACACCAGCGAGCACAGCCCCATGCTCCCCAGAGCCCACCCACTCCCCTCGGGAACATCCAAGTTGATTTCAGATAATCAGTTATGGTGGGATTATAAAATGAGCCCCTCCTCATATTATCTCACCATCTCTGCACCAACAGTACAGGGATCTTAGTAGAGAACACTGCTCTGGCACACTGACTAGTTCATCTGTAGGGATAAAGCCCTAAATTAAAGGGGTTCTGGGAAGAATAGGAAAAATTCAGGACCTTGCTCAGAAAGGAAAAAGTAAACCTCCCACTATTTCCATGCTGAGGTAAGAATGAAGACTCACTCACACCCTTAGAGGTTAACCCAATTCCATTCACCTTGCTTCCTACCTGTCTCTTTCAAGCATCTTAGAGGGTTGAAGGCCTGTATGAGAAGCTGATGAAAATAAGAAGGCTCTCCCTACACACGTGTGCCCACACACAATTTTTCATTCAGTTTCAGAAGTTTCAGAAGATTGACCCCTAGAGCCCCATTCGCAGGCTCCAGGTTAAGAATGTTTACTCTGTAGGACAACCAGGTTTTATGTACTCCCACTGAGATGCAACATTAAGAACACATGACCTTTGTTTAAAAAATTTATTTTAATTTTAATCTAATCCAACCTTTAAATGTAACTTCCAGTTTGCACCATGAGGAAGCAACCAGACATATCTAGGTAGGATATTCTCTAGGACAGTCATCTGAGTCTCTTCAGTAAGTCAGTGTCATGAAAGGAAAAACCATTTTAGATTGAAAAAAGACTTAAGGGACATAATAACCACATAGGCTGCAGAGTCCTGGACCAGAAATGGATTTGGCCAAAAAACTGTAAATGACATTCTTGGGACAACTGAGGAAATCTGAATGTGAACTGACTATAGCATGATATCAAGGAATTAATTTTGTTAGGTATGATGTTACTTTGATTATGAAAAAAAGTCCCTATTAAGAGACAAACTTCAGTATTACATTTAGGGATTGGAATGGCCTATATCTGTAATTTAAAATATTTTCACATACAAAATAAAATGAGCTGAAAGGAGAAAAAGAACATTATGGAGGATGACAATCAAAGCAGAATAGGAACAAAAAATGTTGAGAGCCTTTGGTTATCAGACCCACTAAAAAAAAAAAAAAGAAAAAAATATTGAGATCCATAATCCTAAAGGATTAGTGAAAATAGTACCTGCCTATTCATAAGTATTTGTATTTCTTTAACTTATGTTCAAAATTACATCGTAATTTTAATATTATTATGCTAACATTGGGAGAGAAGGAAAAAAGGCCTGCTCTAGATATAGAAGCCGGATGTTCAAGGTTGCTGGCAGTCCTGAGGTATGAGCTTACTCAACCACAAAGACGCCCTGGTGAAAGGCCATATGGTTCCCAGTGCCTGCCTCTCCAGGACTGGGCCTGAGACACACGGTCGGCCTGGAATAAGCCCAGAGGCCGGGTGGACCACCCAGAACTGCTCCTCACTAGGGCAGAAAGGACAGCCCAGCCACTGCCTAAATGGCCAGCACAACTATAAAGCAGGAAGGAAGGAGACCCAGCAGGTCACAGCAACTCTACAAAGTCTGTACCTGAGCAAGTACCGGACACCGTCACCTGCGTCCTTCAGGGGTTCCAGGTAGATCTCTAGCCTCTTGTAGGACAGAACCAAGTTGAAAAGATCAAATGCTGGGGACTTGGTAGGAGCAGGTGGAGACTCCGGGGAAGCCTCAGGCATCACGCTGGGGCTCGCCTCTGCCCCACACCCCTCACGCTCTGATGTCTGCATCCTGTAACCATAATAATTCCTGTCATTTGCATCATACTTCCAATGCCCAATACACTTCTTCTTGCATTATTTCACGTGGTGCCCGAAATAAACCTGTGAGGTAGGCAGGGCTACAGGTGGAATGCCCATTTCACAGAGGAGGAAACTGACATTCAGCAAGGTGAACTGAATTAGTTATAAAACCCTGCTCTTCTGACTCTCCATCTAATGTACTTTTTTCCCACAGACCCATCAAGAGTATAAACAAACGGTAAAGACCAAGCAGACATGGTTGCTAAAGGGAGGTAGCCTGAGGTCTCAAGAGAAATGATAACCTGAAATATTTTCCTCCCACTCTACCTGGTCAATTCCTACTCATCCTTTAGGTATTTGGCTTAAACATCACTCCCTTGCTCTGAGGAGTCTTTGTCAACCCCAGTCTGGACTGGGAGACCCTCCTCAATGCTACCCAAGAATCCTGTACTCACACTAACAGCACTTTGTCACACCAAAGTGAAACTCCCGGCTTAGTTGCCAGTCTGCCCCTCTTAACTTTGCGCTCCACCAGGTCAAGGACTATGTCTTTTATTCACCACTGTTTCTGTACACAGTGGGAGCGTAATAAATACTCACTGAATGAGTGAACGAACTGCGCATCCTCCAGGCCCCCAGTGCTTTCTCCTGCCCCTCCCCATCCTCTAACCCTTCCCTCTCCCTTCTGTTCCCCAAAACTTCCTGGACCTTTCCCTTTTCCGCCCCTTTAACTCCACGGGGCAGTTATGACCTTCTGTAACGCCCTGCTCCCATCTCCATTCTCTGATAACTACAGGAAACGCTCACCCTCTTTCCTAATTTCAAAGTCCTACCCACACGCTAAGCAGGAAACAAGGGGGCGGGAACTTCGGCGCACAACAACATAAACCAGACCCAGGTAATGGACTGCAAGCTAACGGGGATCAGGGGGAAGTGACAAAGGAGCCGCTGGGAGCCCAAAATCCCCGCAGGCCGACCTAGGACGCAAGGACCCAGGGCGGGCGCGAGGGAGGGGAGGATGAAGCAGGCAGGGGCCTGGATCACGACGTCTGCAGTACTGGGAGCCTGACCGGGCCCCGCGGCTCAGACCAGGAAAGGCCACGCCCAAGGTCGCTGGGCCAGCAGGTGGCAGCCCTCGCGGCGTCCAGGGGCCCAACTCCGCACAGTCGGCGGAGACAACGGGATGGGGAGGGGGTGGCACCTAACCTACCCGGTCGCTGGATTGGTTGGGGGAGGGGCGGGGACGGGCAGGGGGCACTGATGGGGTCGCTGGGCCCCGGAGCGTTGCCTCAGGCCCGCCCCACCCCGAGCCTCTTCCCAGAGCCGCTCTGTAAATCCCAGGTCCGAGAACCTCCACAGCCTCCCCCGCCGCGGCCGCTTCCTTGAATGCTCTGCGGCGGCGTGACCGTGACGTCATCGCGCCCGCCCCGCCTCCCGCCCCACTCCCGGGTTTAGCTCCTCCCGCTCTTGCACAGGTAAGCGCGCTTATCAGCACTGCGCATGCGTGCTTTTTCTCTCCTCACCCCCGCCTTGACACCACTGTGCTCCTGTACGACCGCGTTTCTCAAAATCCCGCTGAGCGCTGGTAGCAAACCCTTCGGGACCCTGCCCCTCGCTGCGCCTCCTCACGCTGCAAGATTCCTTCAGAGAATAGTTGGAAAGAAGCTAAACTGAAGAATTTGCATCTGCATCCTCCTCCCCCAAACTTTGGTACTTAACCTCCCTCCTCGGGACTGTGAGCCCACAAAAGGCAGAAACCTGTATGCCCCTTTATGCCTAACATAGAATGTAATTCCGTTTAGTGTTTCCTAAGTAGGTACTGGGTACAGGGGCCTGTGCAAGCGTTTTCCAACTCAATCCATTTCTCACCTTCTTGCTTGGTTAATCGCCCTTAAATCACGCATCTGATGGCTTTGCATTTGTGATAACGCTAACTCTTATTTACTGAGTGTTTACCAGCCGCCAGGCACTGAACTAAGCTCTCTGTAGGCATTATCTTATCTAGTCCTTCTCCAACGACCCTATTAGGGTTATCGCCATTTTACAGATGAGAGATCTGAGACATGTTAAGGAACTTCATCAGTGTCACTCAGCCAGTATGCAACTGGAAGCTTGAACTTCATGTGTCATCTGACTCCTTGCACCCCCAATCATACCACCACCCACGTTAGTCTGCGTTTACTGGCCTTATTCACTGCTACTCCACTTTAGGAGTCTGTTATCTTCAGCCAATTGAACCCCTCCATTGCTTGTGCATTGCTTTGCTTGTGCTGTGAGCTTGGGGAGGAATGCTCTACGCCCACTCCTGCTTTGGTCCAAATCCAACCCATTCGTCTAAGCAGGACTCAAATGTCTGTACCCCTTGCCGGATTGTCCCAGCTGGAAGTAATCATTTTGAAACAGCTAGAATGGAGACAGATAGAGTCCCGCATACAGCAAGCAGTCTCCCCTAATGGGGGGGAGGGGGGGGAGGAAATACGTTCCAAGACCCCCAGTAGGTGCCTGAAACCCCAGCGGATAGTAGCAAACCTTATATATACTGTGTTTTTTCTTAAACATACATACCTACCTATGATAAAGTTTATAAATTAGGCACAGTAAGAGATTAACAACAACTAATAAAATAGAACAATTATAACAATATACTGTAATAAAAGTTATGTGAATGTGGTCTCACTCAAAGTATCTTATTGTACTGTACTCATCTTTTCACTTAAAGGAAGCACTTTGCAGCTTCTCTTTGGCATATCTGAATTGCCAGCATCACTATTCTTGCACTTTGGGGCCATTATTAGGTAAAATAAGGGTTTCTTGAACACAAGCACTGTGCTACCCTAACAGTTGGTCTGATAACCAAGATGGCCAGTTACATACAACATGAATACACTGGACAATGGGATGATTCACTTCCCTGGCAGGATGGAGCAAAGCAGCACAAAATTTCATCACACTACTAGCACAGAATTTAAAACTTATGAATTGTTTATTTCTGGAATTTTCCATTTAATATTTTTGGACAGTGATTGAACACGGGTAAGTGAAACAGCAGAAAGGAAAATCGCAGATAAATGAGAACTACTGTATACCACTAACTATATTCAGAAATCCCCCTAATTCAGAATGGGCTTGGCTTTGTGGCTGGCCCAGGCTTGTCTGCTGGACTCTGCCTCTTCTCTTTAGGGTGCGTCTAGAGGAAGTATAGAAAGAAGAGCCTATGGCCATACCACCCTGAACATACCCAATCTCGTCTAGTATCAGAAGCTAAGCAGGGTTGGGCCTGGTTAGTACTTGGATGGGAGAAAGAAGAAATTTTTGTTCTTCAATAGCTTAATAACCTGACACTCCACCATCAATAATTTACTCCAAAGGTAAATTTCAGTTTCTTTGCAATCCCTCCTCCTTGGGTCTGCCTGGATCACTGGCCTCAGGCTGGTTGTGGGTAATAGTATTATTGGTTCTCTCTTCTGGCAACTATGGATTTGAGGGATATTATTCAAAAACTCTTAGACATTATTTGGGGGAATCACTGGAGGATACAAGAAGCCTCTGAAGACCAGAAAGGGACAACAGTTATGGCCAACATCAATGAACAAAGGCTTCCCCAGGTAATTAGAGACTGGTCAGCTGGACTCCTGGACTCCTTCTGAGGTCTGACTCGGATTTTTTGTAATCAAGTTCTCCTAGTTCTTTCTTTCCCTTCTCCAGCATTCTGAGTCTTCATTCTTCTTCTCAAATCCTGGTGCCACTGTTTTCCCCTGGATGGCAGATAGGTAGAAGAAACTAAGGGAGAAAATAAAATAGTGAAAGAGGATAATATCTTAACTCAACATATTTCAGAGGTTAGTTTTTGCATCTATAAGCGAGGGTATGTATGGCCCACATAATTGACTTCTGAACCTCACTGCGGCCTTATTACAGGGAAATGCTGGGTAGAACAAGCTAGAAACAGGAGAGGGAAAATTGAATGTCTAAGCATGCCTTCCTCCACCAGATGGCTCCCTCGTCCACTCTTGCACAGACCTTGTGGTTCCTGGCTGCAGTCTCTATGCCACCATTTCCGCAGCACAGGCATACATACCATTGCATGTCCCTTTATTGCACTTCACTAATATTGTGTTTTTTACAAATTGAAAGCAAGGCCCTCTACCAGCAAAAAGATTATGACTTGCTTTATTGCAGGGGTCTGGAACCAAACCCAAAATATCTCCAAGGTATGCCTGTATACTAGATCTTTTCATGCTTTTCGCTGTATTAGTTTTCATGCTTCTAGCTGTAGAAGTCATCGCTTGCTGTGTAACTATTTCAAAGCTTAGTGGCTTAAAACAATAAATATATATGATCTCACATTGGTTTTTGGTTTTGGGATAGTTTTGGTGAGGAAATCACGAGTGGTTTGGTGGGCAGTTTTGGCTCGGGGCTTTCATGCAGTTGCAGTCAGATGTTGGCCAGGGCTGCCCTCTTCTGAAGGCTTGATGGAGCAGGATTGGCTTCCATGATGGCTTCCTCACATGGTAGACAAGTTGATGTTGATACTCTAATGCTGACAGGCTGGCAGGAGGTTTCACTTCCTCTTCACTTAGGACTCCCCTGAAGGCATCTTGAGTGTCCTTATGACATGGTGGCTGACTTCCCCTAGAGCAAGAGATCCAAGAGGGTGCAAGGCAGGAAACCACAGGTCTTATGATATAGCCTCAGAAGTCACACCTGTCATTTTCACAATACCCTATTGATTTTATGGGTCAGAACCACTCAGCATCCCGATGCATAATGAGAAGCTTATGCAAGAGCATGACTACCAGGAGGTAAGAATAAGTGGAGCCATCCTGGAAGCTATCTTGGATGCTGGCTATTACGTGCTGCTCTGTCAGCTTAGAATACCCTTCCCCCTCCACTTCACCTCCTCCCACACACCTTCTAATATCCAACTTAAATGTCAGGTCCTTTGCGAAGTCTACCTCAAATAATTTGTCGCTTCCTCGTTCCAACTCTATTAAGCACCTATCACCTTGCATTTTAATCTGTCTCTTGAATGTGAGAGTTTGTCTTCATTACTCTGAGTTCCTGAGAGCAGAGAGACTGAGACTTAACATCTTGGCAGCCCCCGTTTCTGCAAATCATAGAGCCTTGGCATAGAAAATACTCAGTGAATGCTTGTTTTAAAATAAATGAATAAAACAAAATAACAAGCGCTGGTGAGGATGGGGAGAAACTGGACCCCTTGTGCACAGTTGGTGGGAATGTAAATGATGCAGCCTCTATGAAAAACAATATGGCAGTTCCCCAAAAAATTAAACATATTAATTAAAAATAAACATTACCGGATGATCTAGCAATGCCACTTCTGGGTATATACTCAAAAGACTTGAAAGCAGAGTCTCGAACAGATATTTGCACACCCATGTTCATGACAGCATTATTCACAATAGTCAAAAGGAGAAAGCAACCCAAGTTTCCATTAATGGATGAATAGATAAATAAAATGTGGTATGAACATACAATGGACTCTTATTCGCCTTAAAAAGTAAGGAAATTCTGACACATGCTACAACATCAATGAAACTTGAGGACATTAATTTAAGTGAAGGGCCAGTCGAGTGGCTCAGTTGGTTAAGAGCTTGCGCAAGAGTGTGAGCTCTGAGCAACAGGGTTGCTGGTTTGATTCCCGTCCCGAGAGCCACTGAGCTGCCAACAGGTGGCAGGATGGCTCAGCTAAAAAAAAAAAAAAAAAAAAGTCAGTGAAATAAGCCAGTCACATAGAAAAACAAATATTGTATGATTTCACTTATATGAGGTACCTAAAGTGCTGAAATTATAGAGACAGAAAGTTGAATAGTAGTTGCCAGGGGCTGGAGGGAGGGGGAATGGAGAGTTAATGTTTAATGGGTACAGAGTTTCAGTTTTGCAAGACGAGAAGAGTTCTGGAGGTAGATGATGGTGATGGTTGCACAACAATATAAACATACTTAACACCAGTGGACTGTGTGCTTAAAAAATGGGTAAGATGGTAACTTTTGCCAAAATTAAAAAAATGTTTTAATGATGGATAAACAAAGTGTGATATATCCATTCACTGGAATATTATTCACCATAAAAAGAAATAAAGTATTGATACATGCTACAACATGGATGAACTTTGAAAACAAAGTTTGCAATGTAAAATATACCACCACAAAAGGCCACATACTGTATGATTCCATTTATATGAAATGTCCAGAATAGACAAATCCGTAGAGACAGAAAGTGTATTAGTGGTTGCCAGCGACTGGGGAAAGGGAATAACTGAGAGTGGCTGCTAACAGGTACAGAGGTTCTTTGTGGGTTGATGGAAATGTTCTGAAATTGGCTAGTGGTGATTAATTGCACAACTTTG